ATGAAAACAGACTAATACACTGTCATTTGTTATAAATTTTTCCTATCTTTGCCTTTTACTTTGCTTTTGACATACCAAAGTTTAAAATTTGTTTCATGAAATCTCTCAATATTTTTCTGGTGATTTATTCCATTTATTTCATTACAAGAAAGGTGATGACATTTTTGAAGTCTTTTGCCACATTACTTTAACTATATATATTTGTATTAGTCCATTCTCATGCTGCTAAGAAAGACATACCCAAGACTGGGTAATTTATAAAGGAAAAAGGTTTAATTGACTCACAATACCACATGACTGGGGAGGCCTTACAGTCATGGCAGAAGGTGAATGTGGAGCAAAGTCATGTCTTACATGGCAGCAGGCAAGAAGAACATGTGCAGGGGAACTCCGCATTTAAACAACCATCAGATCATGTGAGACTTATTCACTACCAGGAGAAAAGGGTGGGGGAAACTGCCCTATGATTCAATGATCTCCACCTGGCCCTGTCCTTGACATGTGGGGATTATTATAACTCAAGGCGAAATTTGGGTGGGGACAGAGCCAAATCATATTATTCTGCCCCTGGCCCCTACCAAATCTCATGTCTTCACATTTCAAAACCAATCATTCCTTCCAAAGAGTCTCCCAAAGTCTTAACTCATTTCGGCATTAACTCAAAAGTCCACAGTCCAAAGTCTCATCTGAGACAAGGCAAGTCTCTTCCGCCTATGAGCCTGTAAAACTGAAAAGCAAGTTAGTTACTTTCTAGATACAACTGGGGTACAGGCATTGAGTAAATACACCCATTTCAAATAGGAGAAAATGGCCAAAATGAAGGGGCTACAGGCCCCATGTAAGTCCAAAATCCAGTGGGACAGTCAAACCTTAAAGCTCCAAAATGATCTCCTTTGACTCCATGTCTCACATACAAGTCACACTGATGCGAGAAGTGGGCTCCCACAGCCTTGAGCAGCTCCACCCTTGTGCCTTTGCAGGGTACAGCCCCGTGAACCCTACAGTTGCTTTTAAGGCTGGTGTTGAGTGTCTGTGGCTTTTCCAGGTGCATGGTACAATCTGTCAGTGGATCTACCAGTCTGGAGTCTGGAGGATAGTGGCCCTCTTCTCACAGATCCACTAGGCAATGCCCAAGTAGGGACTCTGTATGGGGGCTTTTGCCCCACATTTTCCTTCTGTGCCGTCCTGAAAGAAGCTCTCCATGAGGGTCCCGTCCCTGAAGCAAACTTCTACCTGGACATCCAGGCGTTTCCATACATCCTCTGAAATCTAGGTGGAGGTTCCTAAACCTCAATTCTTGACTTCTGTATACCTGCAGGCTCAACACCACATGGAAGCTGCCAAGGCTTGAGGCTTGCATTCTCTGAAGCCATGGCCCAAGCTGTATGTTGGCCACTTTTAGCCATAGCTGGAGCAACTGGGATGCAGAGCACCAAGTCCCTAGGCTGCACAGAGCAAGGGGGCCCAGAAAACCATTTTTTCTTCCTAGGCCTCTGGACCTGTAATGGAAGGGGCTGCCACAAAGGTCTCTGATATGACCTGGAGACATTTTCCCCATTGTCTTGGTGATTATTAACTTTTGCCTCCTTGTTACTTATGCGAATTTCTTCAGCTGGTTTGAACTTCTCCCCAGAAAATGGGATTTTCTTTTCTATTGTATCCTCAGGCTGCAAATTTTCCAAACTTTTAAGCTCTGCTTCCTCTTGAATGCTTCACTGCTTAGGAATTTCTTCTCCCCAGATACCCTCTCTCTCAAGTTCAAAGTTCCACAGATCTCCAGGGCAGGGGAAAATGCTGCCAGTCTCTTTGCATAGCAAGAGTGACCTTTATTCCAGTTCCCAAAAAGTTCCTCATCTCCATCTGAGACCACCTCAGCCTGGACCTTGTTGTCCCTCTCACGATCAGCATTTTGGTCAAAGCCATTCAACAAGTCTCTAGGAAGTTTCAAACTTTCCTACAACTTTCTGTCTTCTGAGCCCTCCAAACTGTTCCAGTCTCTGCCTGTTACCCAATTCCAAAGTTACTTCCATATTTTCAGGTACCTTTACAGCAGCACCCCACTCTACTGGTAAAATTTACTATATCAGTCTGTTCTCAGCTGCTAATAAAGACATACACATTACTGGGTAATTTATACAGGAAAAAGGTTTAATTGACTCACAGTTCCACATAGCTGGGGAGGCCTCACAATCATGGCAGAAAGCAAATGAGGAGCAAAGTAACATCTTACATGGCAGTAGGCAAGAAGAACATGTGCTGGGCAACTCTGCTTTATAAAATCATCAGAACTTGTGAGACTTATTCACTACCAAAAGAACAGTACGGGAGAAACCACTCCCACGATTCAATCATCTCCACTAGGCCCTGCCCTTGAAATGTGGGGATTCTTACAATTTAAGGTGAGATTTGGGTGGAGACACAGCCAAACCATGTTAATATTTATTAGAATAATTTCTATAATAAAATTATTCCATATTTTTCATTATTTCTCTTTCAAAAATCAGTTCCCTTTATCACTTTAACAAAAACAAGTTTTACAGAGTGTAGTATTTAAAAGTTAATGAGAAAATAATCATCTTGTAGCCATCAGAGTAATAATTACTTCAGGTAAGAGTCATCAATTTATTCTACAATCAATTAGTGGAAGTTTGATGAGGATGGGGTTATTTACACATTCTCAATATAACTCTCCATAGATTAATAACTTATTAATCACAAAAGAAAATCTGAATTTATGGTGAAGAAATTGATCAGTTAATATCACCAAGATATTGGTGATATCCTCTTGATGTGCCTCTTGATGTGATGTACTAAAAAGGATACATCATAGGGTATTAACGCCAAATATGCATAGATGAATTTAATCAGGAGAAAGCAATCACATAAATTGAGGAAATGAAATTCTACTTAAAAAATTGACCCTTATGCTTCAAAATGTCAGTATCATGAACAAAGGTTGAGAAAGTTTTCCACTTCAAAGGAGTTTTTAAAAACATGGCATTAAATATATGATCCTGAATTGGACCCTATATCAGGAAAAAATGCTATAAAGAACATTATTAGAACAATTTTAAAAATTTGAGTACGGGATACATATTATAAAATAGTATTACATCATATTAATTATTCTGAATTTGATAATAATATTATGATTATATAAGAGAACATCTTTTTTTAGGAGACTTTAGTCTCCTAAGTACTTACTACTTTAGTACTTAGGTACTGCAATTTATTCTCAAATGGTTCAGTAAGTGTAATAAGGCTAATAATGTGTATGTGTGTGTAAAGTATGTACAAGGAGAAAAAGTATGGGGAATTCGCCATGTTATTCTTGCAATTTTCCCTGAGTTTGAAATTTTTTCTGAACAAAAAGTTAAAAAATAATGCTGGACATGTTTTGTATGATACACACACATATAAATTACCTTTAAAGGATCCACAAGTTCCAAGGTATGTTTCAAGTATATTAAATTTGTTATCTTTGATTCAGCAGCATTGACCTGTTAAGATAAAAACCCAAATTTGGATGGACACCATAAGTAAGTATTTAATAGAATAATGGGTTTTCCTCTTGAACATTCTTACTCTTCGCATATTCCATATATTTTTATATATCAGCCTAGCCACAATGCAAGCCTAAAGAATGATAAAAAATTATTGACCCACCATAATTAACCTAGTGCACTATTTTCCCAAAAGTCTGAAAATGAGAAGAGTTTATCTCATTGTATCCAATTTTCATTTCTATTTCAATCTCTTGGGTTCAATTTAAACTGAATAGCAAAAGGAGATGCAGTCCAATCCTGAGCAGCACCAAGAGAGTAATATTAACTGAAAAAGGCACAAAGAGTATTTGTAGATAGATGATATTTTAAAAGGCTGAATCCAAACCTCGCAGATAGTTATAGAACAACATGGATTTCCCTCATTGGTTCCTGTTTATTCAAGTAAAACTATTTTCATAAATCTGCTAGGAATTATAGTTTGCCAAAATAAAGCTACATCGACATTCCAAATTTTATTAATAAATTTTATATAAATTAAATTGCACTCTAGAGTTGAGCAGTGTTACCCAACCTGGAGGAATGAGGAATGATCCTGTGTCTGGACTAATTTACTAATACTGACAGATGAAGTAGAGTTTTAGGATACTACAATTATGACATAATGTACTTGATATGAAGATGTTTCTTTTTTTTTCTTTTTTAATAGAGATGGGGTTTCACCATGTTGGCTAGGCTGGTCTCAAACTCCTGACCTCAGGTGATCCACCCATCTTGGCCTCCCAAAGTTCTGAGATTAGAAGCATGAGCCACCACGCCTAGCCAGATGTTTCTTTTTGAAGTATCCTGGTTTATAGCCCCACTGCACAATACCGGGACTGTTCTGTGACCATATGTATCAATTTAGAAAAAATGCCATAATAAATGTTGCTAGCCCCAAATGGGTTATGTCATGTTCTCTTACAATGGATCTCTGAAACTAACTGGAAGTTTAAAAATAAATAAAATTCGCTACAGAAAACAACTATCATCACTATCGCTAAAGGAGAATAATTCATGCTAGGAGTAATGGCTCATGTCTGCAATCCCAGCATTTTGGGAGTCTGAGGTAGGAGGATCACTTGAGCTCAAGGGTTTGAGACCAGCCTGTGCAACATGGCAAAACTCTGCCTCTACAAAAAAAAAAAACAAAATAGAAATTAGCTGGGTGTGGTGGCACATGCCTGTAGTCCAGCTACACAAAGGGTGAGGTGGGAGGACCACCTGAGCCCAGGAGGTTGAGCCTGCAGTAAGCAGTGATCACACCACTGCACTCCAGCCTGGGTGACGAAGTGAAACCCTGTCTCAAAAAAGGGCGGGGGGATAATTCCAAAAATAGCTAACACACCATTGAAGAAGAACAAGGTGGAAAGACTAACTGTAATGAATGTCAACTTCTAATAAAATTACAGTAATTAAGAAATGATGGTATTGACATAAAAACAGAGAGTCCAATGGAACAGAATAAAGAGTCTAGAAACAGAGCTAAGCATATATATGGGCACTCGATTTATGGCAAAGGTTGACTGCAGAACAGTGGGGAAAGGAGAGTCTTTTCCATAAACAGTACCAGTAGAATTATGAATTCATATGGGAAAAAAGGAAACATGGCCCTTCCCTCAACCTACACACAAAAATTAATTCCAGAAGGATTGTAGAACTAAGCATAAAAGGTAAAACAATAAAATATCTGGAATTAATAAAGAAGAATATCTTCATGGCCTTGTGTGTTCTAATTAACTTTTATAGATTTTGTAATTGATGATTTGGCATCCATTAATCACATGATGAAACTAATAGCTAAAGTTGTTTACATCTCCCTTGCAGTCTGGCTTTTGCAGGCATGTGAAAATCATATTACGAAACCCCCAATCACAAACTTCAACATCTGTGTTTTACTTCCTGACCAATAGGCGACTTCCCTACCTAGCAACTTCCTGGTACTGTAGTAATAAGGGGTTTTGCCCATGTTTCTCTTTGCTCCTTCTGCCTCTCGATCAACCCTAGTACATCCCCAGGTGGTCCTGCCTGACATGCCCTCTCCTCTTGGGAACTTTAAGTAATAAACAATGGCATTAGTATCTCCATGTTACCATTCAATCACCTTCATAGATCAAAATTCCATGGGTACAATCAAGATATTAGAGTAGGTAAAGACTTCTTATGCAGGACATAGCAAACACTAACTATGAAGGGAAAAAAATTGATAAACTAGATCCATTTAAATTACAAATTTCTATTTATCAAAAGATATTACTAAGTCAAGTTAGGTTCTCCAAAAGTCAACTCTGAGAAACTAGAATTTGAGAGCAAATAATTTATTTTAAAAAGTAATTCCAGCAAAAACAGGCAAGGGGGTGGGGAAGTAAGACAGAGAAGGAAAGAATACCAGTACAGGAGACATTAATGATCAAGTTACCAATTTGTCTCCATCTCTCAGATGTAATGGAGACATCTGAGAGATGGCATAGAGTAAGTTTCAGAAGCTATCTCCAGAGGTAAGGAAAATGGGGTATTTATTCATCAACTCCTATTCAGTGTTGGTTAAGAGCTGCTGCCAGGGCATCAATTCCCTAATACCCTCCAGCCTCTCTTATGGCCGGAGAATGTCTTCCAAAAGCACAGAGTCTCAGCTGCTTCAAGCAAGAAGTCTTCCTGCACAAAAGTGAATACCAAGGCAACGTGGGTAGCATAGCAACAGCATCTATCCCACAATACTCAGTGCAAATTAAACTACAAAGTGGGAAGAAATATTTGCAACACACATAACCAAAAAAGGGCTTATATCTAATATGTGAAAAGAAGCTCCACAAATCACAAAAGCAGATACACCCAATAGAAAAATAAGTAAGAATCCCGAGCAATATTTTGACAAAAGAAGATATTCAAATGGTCAATATACATGTGAAAGGATGCTCAACCTCATTAATAGGAAAATGCAAATTAAAACCACTGTTTATCAAAACGCTATGGCTAAAATTTTAAAACCAGTAATATCTGGTTTGGGGAAGACAAATTGGAGTTCTCATACACTGATGGGAGGATAAATTGATAAATCATTTTGAAAAACATTTTGACATTATCTACCAAAGTTGAATATATGCA